TATTCTGTACGCTAGACAATAAGTATTTTTGATAATATTGTGAATTTAACTAGCGCGGTACTTTATGAACACACAAAACTATTGTATTTTTGTCCAGCCTGTACCAATTTAAATCAACATGTGATACATTCTTTTAATCAGCTCAGCTAGTGTAATCTGAAAATAGAGACAAAATGGGGGTGTTCCATTAAAAAAAATGACGGTGACGTCATTACTCGAAATTAATTCACCCTGTATATTAGAATATTATTTTAAAATACCGTAAATTAAAATCAAAAATCGACCTATTTCAGGATTATTTCTCAAAATGTTCTGTTTAGCTAAAAAAGAATTTGTTTTATACTTTACGGACACAGTGTATAAATGTCACCTTATAAACGTATCTGGCAAAATAACACAAACTAGCAAAAATTGCTGGCCTCATATGGAGCTCTACTGCTGAAACACTCTGGAATACTTTGGTGTATATACTGTCGGAATACTATGGACTAGTAAGGGTAAGTATTGCACATATCAACAAATTTGACATTTAGTTGGAGCAAAAAATGGAAATAATAACTGAAGCTTTTAAAACAACCCTAGTGAGATAGCTTTCTACTTTTAGTAATATTTTCCCAACATCATCAAACTCCCTAAATAGGCAATTAACGTGATTTAAACAAGAAATAAGCAAAAAGATTCCAATAACAGAATTCTGAATCGCATAGGACGTGGATAATGTGCAGAGTCATTGTTACAATAATGTGCTGAAAGACCAAATGCGATTTTGGAATTTGAATAATTGAATGGCTGTTTAATCTGGATATTGATTATTGATAGAAAATAAGTTACGTTTTTTACATATTGTCTTGTTATATACGCACTGATAATGAGCGTATTGTGTTGAAAAAAAAAAAGGTATTACCCGCCTCGATAGCTTAATGATAGAGCATTAACTTATTGGTGTGAAAGTTTAGTAAGTGTATTGGTGTGAATAAAGTCGACTTTACTTAGTAACTATGAATTTACTGAACACCCCACAAAATAATTATTCCACTAAGAAACTTATATTTTTAATTTTACCTTTTAAACAATAAAGCTGTGTATTCAACGAAAAACAAAGAATTACTTGGAAGTCTTAAATTTTGCAGTTGATGTTTATCTTTTGACAGAAACTTACACTTGAGATGCGTAAAAATATCAAGTTACTTAAAAATGCGCAAAGAAGTTTAAATACGGTTAAATGTCTCTTTTGTTCAGCTCTAAACTACCTGAAAGAATAGAAAAATGTGTCAAACCTAAGATTCAAACCATATTAAATTAGAATGGAAAATCGGTATATATAATGTGAGACGTGAAAAATCACAAAAATATAATATCAAATATATAACGGCGATTGCAGAGTATCGACAGGAATGAGGAAATTGACGGATGTCTTATATTCCAAAGGAATTAAAGAAAATCAAGTCAAGTCAATGCAGCGCATTGAAGATACTCCTCTGCCTGTTTCTACAAAAAACCGGTTCCATTCCGACAGGTTCCTAAAACTCTCTAAGAATAGATTCGTAAATTCTGAATTTTTAGGAGGTACACCACTTAGAATTAGATTCTAAATATTGATTTATTTTTATTAGTTCGTCAACAAAGTTTGGTTAACCATTTCCCGGTGGTATCTAAACATTCCCTATATTCCGTATTTAGCACCTAGGACTCTCTTGCGGCACATGGCCATGTTTTAACCAATAGCCAGCGAGGTGCCAAACACGTTGTGGAATGTTACTTTGGTGCGAAATTCATATGCGGAATATTAAATATTCGTAAGTAGACAAAAAAGACGACCTTTTATCAAAATCCGTTAAAAGAAGACTGATTTTAAAATATTTGTAATGTATGATTAAAGAAAACTAAAACAATGCAATAGTAAATAAAACAAAATATATTTAAATATATAAAAAATAATTATAAAAGTTTAAAATATAATATTTATGCGAAATTCAATGTCCTTCGCCGTGTTTAGTACCTAATACAAATTGTTTTTCGTTACTTATTTGTTTTTTGTAATAAAAACAACTGTTAAATAACTTATAATTACCTAATTAACTTAATTAATTACAAATAACTTAACCTACAAAAAAAATTCTTATTTTGATAATGGAATATAAATTAAAGATTTTCTAGTTTATCGTGAGTCCAAATTAGAATTTGAAATTGGATTTGACAGTAAACTTACAGCAAATTCAGAAATTATTCCAAAATATCTGTACTGAAAATTTGGGACCTCACAATGTAACTGGAGCTTTGGAGGTAAAGAAAGTCTCGGCAGAAGTCCCTAAAATTACTGACCTTTTCGGTTTTTTTATGAAAATGAAACAAAAAATTGAGGTTTATAAAGTAGAAAGAGAGAGATAGTAAAATATAATGAAAACCCGTTTGCCGTCATTGTTGTAACACCTTTTATGCAACGAGCAGTCAATCTTCCATTTGCAAAGATGTTATTTTTACAGATCTTCTTCACAGCCTCTTGTGATGCATTAAACCATTCGATTTCGTTTATTGTTATTAGGAGCAGCGTCTTAGGCAGTTATTATTACCAAAGGCAAAACAATTGAAGATTATGCTGCAGCATACCAACTGCTCAAAGGGTCGATACCGAATACCTTCGGTGGAATGGGTTATCCTAAAATATTTATTACAGATGATAATGACGTGGAAATAAAAGCCCTTAAACGCATTTGGCCAGCTTCACAAACACTAATGCCGTTTTCATATAAACCAATCAATTTGACGCTGGTTTTGTGAAAAAGAATGGAATACCCCAAGAAGACAACTTTTATTCAAGAAATTTCAAGCTATATTATTAGCATCGACCATAGAGAATGGTACAAAGTCATTTAAAACTATCCTTGAAAACCAACGATTTCCGCAGTGGAAGAAATATTTTACTAAATATTGGAAAAGAAAGGAAGATCGATGCCTCGCTTATAGGTACGCAATAACACATGGCCACCAAATCAACAATTTCAGTGAAATAACAGTAAGGCTTTTTAAACACATAGGTCTACATAGCAACAAAGCTTGTAATGTTATAGCTTTAGGAGGCTTTAGCTGTACTGCCTTAGAAGAATATTATAGAAGACGGCGTCGAAATTTTGCAAATAGCAGAGATGCAGCTCCAAGATTAATTTTTAAAAGGCAATTGGAAAAATTTTAATATTTACAACTTCTTCTTGTAGTTCCTTCTCCTATCGGAGGTTGGCTATCATCACAGCTATACGTACCTTTTTGGCGGCTACTCTGAAAAGATCTACTGAGCTGCAACTATACCACTCTATTAGGTTTCTTAGCCAGGAAATTTCTCTGTCTTCCTATGGATTTTTCACTCTTGAGTTTATCTTACATTATAAGCCTTAATATCTCATATTTCGCACCTCTGGTAATGTGGTAATCTAAATATTCCAGCTTTCTCGTTTTGATGTGCTTTATGATCTCGCAATCCTATTGTAGCCTTCTTAACACTTCTGCAATTGTAACTCGTTGGGTCCAGTACCACATCTCAAATAATTCCAACTTCTTTATATTATCTACTTTTAGTGTCCAGCTTTCCATTCCATACAACAAAGTCAAGAACACTTAACTTCTTAAGGCTTTTATCCTCAGCTCCAGAGGAAGGTCTCGATTAACAAAAATTGTTTTCATTTTTATAAATGCTTTTCAATATTTACAACAGATATAATTAAATTATCTAAAAATTTATACATACAAAGTTCCTAGTGAGCAAAATAATAGTGTGCATCACGAAGTCGATATAGCAACAGAATTTTGCAGCTGCGAAATTGGAAGATTGGCTGCTTTTTGCAAGCATCAAGCTGCGATTGCACACTTTTTTAATACATCTTTTTGCAACGTTCTAGCTACTAATCATGAAGATCGATACGATGTAGCTAAATTAGCTTTTGGCGTGAAAGTTCAACCTTTCTCATTGTATAGCGGGATTGCAGGTTCAAGTAAAAGTATTACAGAAGATTATATTAATAACAGCATTGGTAACATTGATGAAAATAATGTTAGAGAATATATAATTTTAAACAAAAATGAAACAGGTGAACAACAAGGATTTTCTTTTGTGAATTTTATTATTATGCTACAAGTTAAAAATGTTACATTTAGAACTGATTCATCAACGTTAAAATTATTGCACGAAAGATTATCCCATATTAAAACAAAAACGGCTGGGGAAAATTTTCTAAACACGGCAGGAAGTTCCTCGGCAAGGCGATTTAGATAAAAGGCAACATAAGAGTGCAACCATATTCAATTAGCCGAGGAAAGTTGAGAGTTACTAGAGCGTCAAAAAGATTACTATTTGAACGACCACCTACAGATGAACCTTCTAAAAAAAGGTTAAAAAGGCGTCCCAATCTTTCATCCAACATCGCAACAAGTCAAATAAATGCAACTAAACATGGCGAAGGTCATTGAATTTACATTACATTTTAAACATTTAAAATTTTTTATAATTTATTTAAATATATTTGGTTTTAATTCCTATTGCATTGTTTTAGTTTTCGTTAATCATAGGTACATACATTACAAATATTTTAAAATCAGTCTCATTTTATCTGATTTTAATAAAAATCGTCTTTTCTTGTTTGGTATCTAGCCGCTTATTGGTTGAAACATGGTCACGTGTCGCAAAGGACCAATAGAAAAGTCCTAGGTGCTAAATACATATACAGAATGTTTAGATGCTTCCCAGTGCTTGAGTAAGTGGTTAATGCATTTAAAATATATTTTATGGACTCATGTAGATCAACGCTGTGTTATGGCGCCACAGAGGACTATGCTCAAAATGGTGGAGGCACCATTAGAAAAATACTGTGTTCAATCATTTTTTTTTTTATAATAAATATTGGTTTTTCCTTGTCTCTCTTTAAAAACTTTAGTAACTACATTACTTGTAATGCAAGTAGAATTATTTTAATTTAAAAACTATTGTTTAACGTCTTAAAAATTATAAATACCTGTGCCAAAATCTTTTCGAGTTACTGCAGTCGACCTCAGAAGCGAAGTGGCATATGAACGTCTTCTGGTCAAAAGCTGTATAATTGGCACATAAGAAATCGTATCTGGTCCCATATAGGCAGTGATGATATACCTGAAATTAGTAAATGTATTAACATGTTGGACTATATTTTTAATATTTAATGCATAAATGAGAAGATAGATGGGTATGCAGATATATGCTAAAAAATGTTTTATTAAATTAATAATAAAATATCTTTTGTGTCCTATTATGGATAAAAGAACGAAGTACGGGAATCTTCAAAAACCATATCGAAAATGCATACTTAGGTAAAATGCAATGTTTATATTTGAAAAAGTAATCTCTCCTTCTTCTTAGCCTTATCCTTAAGGACGTTGGCCATTACATTTGACCATTTAATCTTATGAAAAAAGTAATAATTAAGGAATAAAAATAAACTTATTGATCCCTATATACAGCTCTCATAAAGTATGGAAATAACTACATATATTTGAAATGAAAAAAGCCATATTTATGAAACTTCTCATGTAAGTACAATGACGAATAACGCTTCCGATGTTATATTTTATGTTACTATTCTACCCCCGGTTTCACCGGAAATACTCGAAATACTTAACTAAAACTTATTTAATTTAAATTTTCACCCTATATATTTTTGCAGATTTTAAAATGACATGTTATTTCTAATTCATACATACTCAGTTTGGAGGAAAAATTTTATAATTTATAAAAGAAGGAATAAATCACTTTACAGTTAAAGAATCAGTGGTGGATATACGGGATGGGGGAAAGGACAGGGAAATTCACCTCCCCCCCCCAAGAAGTTCAAAATAAGAAAAACCTACTCGTTACGTCTTTTGAGTAATTTGGGTTTATCTGTTTTGTCTTTTGGTTTGTTTGGTTTGGTTTTGGTTTTATTTTCACGTTATATTTCATTCTGTGAAGAAAATGTCAAGAAAAGAAGAAAGCCTTTACAACCTAGACAACCATGTGATAATTATAGGGTAGTAAGCTTTGTAAGCAAAGTAGAGGGCCGTAGAGGTGTAAGAAGAAAACAAATTTCTTGATTAAAAAACATTCGTGAATGGACTTAAATACCAAATGCAGGACAATTATTCCATATAACAGAAGATCGAGAAGCCTTCGCAATGGTGATCGCCAACGTCGGATAATTCTGATATGGCACGCGAAGAAGAAGCTTTATAAGCCAAGTCTTATAAATACTGCTCAAAATTCTACAAATTAAGATTAATAAAACTAAATTTTAGTAGATCATAGAAATGTTTCAGTCAACAAAATATACATTTATATCATTTATGGATTTCGCAAAAAACTTTTGATCAAGGTATTCGCAAAATTGTCATGGAAATATTGAACAAACAACACAGACATATAAAAACGATACGAGAATCTCTACTGAAAACAAAAATCTGATATAAAAATACAAGATCTTGTTTCTAGATACTGCAATGCAAAAATAATTGCGAGAAGGTTTTTTTTCTACCATTTTTTATTTTTTTATTTAACGTTTTTCTCTGAAAAACGCACAGGAAGGAATAAAATAAATGGAGGATTGTTATGATTGATAACAGTTCTTAAACTAATATAAAAATAGTTTCTAAGACTAGTTTTGCCAGATAGTATAACATGAAAAAAAAAACCATAGCAAAATAACCTATGGTAAAACTACCTATTACCGGCCTATACAAATTCCTGGTTTAAATCCGGCCTATTCAAAAATTGAAATTGTTTTGTAAATACGTTTAAATTGGTTAAATTTAATACCACGACGCTTGTGTATTCTAGCTAGAAATTTATTTGGGGTGACATGTTCTAGCTTTTGTTTTAGTCAGTTCACTTTAATCAAGCGACGCAATTAGTTTGAGAGCGGTGGCCAATTTTTATTGTTTGAGGTAAGCAATGAGTAATTCATTGGTTACAATATTTGCTTGCAAATTATTACAGAAAATATCTTTTCACCTACATGCAGTAGTTTGTTTATTGGAAATGGTTAATAGTTGTATTTTTTATAAAACATTTTGGTTTTTGGGTCAAAACAAAGTAGAATTTACAAAAATAGATTAGGCCGGTATTAGGGCACAATTTTAGTAACTAATCTTATTCCGGCCTAATAGACCGTAATTACGAATGATGGTATTTTTTTCAATTCAACTTTTTTTTCTTTAATATAAAAAATTAAATTAATATACTCTTGAAAAAACATTTAACAAAAACGTGCCATCAAATTCCGTCCCACACTGTTTTCTCTATAAAAGCAAAAAAGGAAGTTTACAACTATGAAAGTCAACTAGTTATTTCTAATGGCAGAAAATTGAAAAAAAAACTCGATTTTGTTCCCAAAAAAATTTTCTCAAGTTAAAATATATAGTCTGACATTTAATTAATTACAAAAAGACATTAAAATAATTTTATTTTATTCTGGGCGGTATTAGATTTTTTATATTTCTCTTGTGCTCTAATTTCGGCCTAACCCAAATTTAGTCTGACATGGTATCTACAAAAAATGACTCAATTATTCACATTTGATTTTTTTCTAGAATCTTGGTCAGAACTAAATAGCCAAGTCAATGCAAAGGACAAAATATTCACAAGAGCTACTGGATCGGACCCTAAATGACACGAAAACTGGCATGTCTGCCTATAAAGCATCCAAGATGTATGGCATAATAAAAAGTACATTGAAAAATAGAAGAATGCAAAAGCATGAGCACGAAAATATTGGAAGATAAACAGTTTTAACTAGCGATGAGGAAAAACTAATAGTAAAGTAGATATTGTTTTTGGCTGTCGCGGTTTTTAGTCAATCTATTTAAAACATTTCCTAACCGGCATCCGGAAGTAAGACCTCGTGTATCGCAAAATCTGGCGCTAGCCATTCCTTTGTTACAGAGGAAAGGGTAAGAAATTGGTTCAATAAAGTATATGATTATTTCAGTTAAAATAGCATCACGAATGTGTTTAAAGATCCAAGCCGAAGATCCATCTGTGACGAGACAGCCTTTTTCATGACTCCACAGGACAAACAAGTGTGGGTTAAAAAAGAGTTTTAAACTGTATATGACAGAACTGCTAACGACAAAAAGAATGTTTGACCTTATTAGCAACAATATCCCGTAGTGGAGATATTTTATCACCAATGGTTTTGTTTTCCTATACAAGGCTACCAAAACATTTAGTTCCAACTATGCCAATAGGTTTTGGTATCGGATACAATAAAAGTGGATGGATGAATACGTACGTGGATACGATGAATACGTACGATGAATGGTTGAACAAAAAAAAAAACCTTAAGCGACCTGTCGTGTTATATTCTGATTAATATGCTAGCCATCACTAGCATCGAGCGAGTTTTGTCATGAAAATGGAATATTTCAACCTGTCAAAGCTATATGGTGTAAAATAGTTAATGATTTCTGAACCTATTTTGAAAATCAATCTCCCATAAATTCTGCTAAATCATATTTTGTTACTCCTCCAAAATTTTCAACGCCATTTAAAAATGCATTTTATTTCCCCAGAAAAATATCTAAAACGTCCAAAAGAGAGGCTACAAAAAAATACCACCTGTAGTAACGATTGCTGATGAGTTCATGGAGTACCATAAAAGAGTAAAAGCTGAAAAAGAAATGAAAAGGAAGCAAAGGAAAAACAAAAGCTTGAAGGGAAAGGAAAACATAACATCATAAAGAAAAATGCAGATTCTGATGGCAGCGAACAGAATAAATTAAAATTTCAAAAGCTGTCAAATTAAACCTAAACATTGAGAATAAAGAAAAATAAAGAGGGAAGATAGATGGAACAAATAAAAAAGAAAATGAAATTTAAAAAAAAAAACAGAATGAATTTAATGAAAGAACTCGAAAGCCGAAAGCTAACAATTCTATGGATTTAAAGGTGGGCGACTACGAACTTGTACATAACAGAACATAAATTTAAAGTCAAAGCTATGGAAAAAATAGGAAATCATTGATGGACAGACACAGATCATATTATTTGGTATGATCCAGAGCAAATTGTTTGTTTAATTGCACCGCATCAGTACATTAACAAAAGGGATCTTTTTATGTACCTGAGATAAATAATTTGTAGATCTCTCATAGCATTTTGCGCGTATGCAATAAATAAAAAAAATACTGTAGCTAAGTAACTTATGAAATTATTTTTTGTTGTTTGTTTATGTTTAAAATGTATTACCCATCGTTTTTTTTATTAAGTTTTTCTATGCCTCTTCTATATAACAATTATGTTTTTATGTCTCTGTATTTTTTATACCTACTTAAAATTGTGTGTATATTTTAAAACAAAAAAATGAGATAAATCTTATAATATACAGGCCGGAATTAAATCTCCATTAGGCCGGAATTACCACTAAGTTTTCAACATAGGCCGGAATTAAAATTTTTTGCATTTTAGTGAAAACTTTTTTTTGTTAATAAAAAACACTTTTTTCATTTTTTTATTTATTATTTTGATAAACAAAACATCAAGCTATCAAATATATTTTAAATCTATTTTGTCTATTATTATGTGTCCTTAATATTTACGTCTAAAGTCAAATATTCCTTAACTGGGCCTTTATTAGGTCGGTTTACCTTAAGCCACGGTTAAACGATCACAATGGGCGACACAATTGTCATTGGACAATTGTCATCACGTGGTTGCGGATTGTCAGAGGCCAGTGCAGCTAAACGATAAGATGTTTATACTGGGCCAACTATTGCCATATCAGTAGAAAGCTACAAATAACCCAAACCACGTGTATGTTTTGACTGACACAAGAGAACTAGAGGGAACTGGCAAAAAACAAGACAGCACTACTGACCTACACTGTTTACACGGCGCCAATTGTCGCAACAATTGAGATTTCGAGTGGTGGGGGGCTCACTGGGCGCAGCTCATTGTACTCAGTCTACTCCCGGAGACAATTGAATTTTGGGCCAATTGTGAGGGCAGTTGGCAAGGCAATTGGCCTGAAGTGTTTAGACGAAGACAATAATTTTATACCAGTAAAGCCGCGTTTTCACGATGACAATTGGCAAGACAATTGTCAGAAGACAACTTACTGGCGCCGTGTGCGCAATTGTCATCGT